TTTTTTTATGTGTAACAAGCAGCTGGTCTAAATATGTATTTGTGAAAATACTGCTATGAACAATCTGATTGCAAAACCTTTTACCTTGTTGTGTGATCAGCTGCAGCACAGTAGCAGTTGGGTGGAATTCCGCCGCACTCGCAACTCCCATGGTCGCTGCTACACTCGTGACCACAGCAGTTGCACGTGGCATACGCTACAGCTTGCCCGGATGTGTCTATATCAAAATGAAAAAATGGTAAATATAAAACCGTTACTGAAATCCCGTGAGCATTTATTTTGCGCGTAGTTTCTAAATTTAATTGTTAATAAAAGAAAATAGGAAATTGGAACTTAAAAGATGTGTTCTTTCCAATTTTACTTAGGAAAGGTGTCAGTAATATGTGTCACCATCTATGCCCTTTCTGAACTCCATGTACATTTTTGGTCTCCATTAAATTCAATTTCTTACTGGTATATTTTGGTAGTGACAAATGATTTTTGATTGCTTTAGCTTGTTCTTGAGAGTGATCTTCAAAGAACAGACACCCCTCAAAGAAGAGACTAAAATGGTTTTATATATGTATTCAGATATTTTCTAACTTGACTCAAGATAATTTGTGGAAATGCAAATTCAGGCACAATTATAAGTTTCACTGTGTATTTCAAAAGAAAGCAAAATACCACTGTTAGTAAGCACTCATGTCATAGTATGGTAACATTTCTAAATAAATCTCACCCGAGCTGAGATACTGCCTGTCTAGAGTACTGTCTCACTTTTAACATCTCTTCTTTTCGTCATTACTTACGCTTTAAGTCATTATAAATATTTTGTTTCTCACCTTCTATGACAACAGCGGCAAAGAGCACCAAAAGCACAAGAAGAGCGCACGACTTCATTGTTCCAATGGAAGTTGTCCTAGCAGGAGAATGAAATCTCAAGAATTTGTTCTCTTCTAAGAGACTTGCTATCTTACACATCCCAAGCCGCTGTTTATACAATTCTGTACAAGGAAATATCTGTTTACCCTCAGCAAGGAAACAGAAACAGATTGCCCTGAAATATGGTGCCAGCAAGATGTTTTCTGTTTCCAATTTTTTTCTGAATCATTAATACGCAGTGTTATGCAATAAAATCATTATCATTTCTCAAAATGTCTTATTTGGTGAAAGCAATCTTACTCTCTAGTATCTAATTGCCACGTACAAAATAAACAATTCGAAAATTTGCAAACAAATCTGTTAATTTCGTTAACAGTTAGCTACTGCACGCGTAAGGTTTACCTTTAAGCCTTTATAATATCTTCAACTGATATAAATGATTTAATGTACAAAAAAATTTTATTTTGATTTTTTAACTTCAAATTTATCATATTTAATGTATTACTTATTTTTATTTAAATGAATCGGAATTTTCATTAATTATATTTCATTTCTTATTTTATTAGAAGTCAACCTCTGGCCTTCATTGCGAAAATAAGACCGATTTGCAGGAATCTAGAAGATTAACTGCATTTGAACATTGAGGAAAAATGCACATGACGCTGTATTTTACACACAAGTAACATCGATTAGAAAGGCAAGCATTTGGCCTATCGCTAATTTTCTGGCTGGTTATATGTGTCTATAACTTTCAAAATATAAATAATACACTGGGGTTTGATTTTCAACTCCAGACGTCACCAATTGTTTGTGTACTCAGCCACTGAGAATAAAATCGGAGTCCAAGTGACTCCAAACTTGAAGTCCAGCAGTGGTGCCTAAAATAACTCCCAATTGGAGTCAAGTTGACTCCGATGGAGAAATGCCACCCCAGACCCCAAAGGAGGGTCACAATTAACTCAATTCACACATCCCTTCATCCCTTGATTTATCTCTACAAAAGCAGGGCCGTAGCCTCCGGGGGGGCAGGGGGGGAAGCTGCCCCCCCCTGGAATTTGTAATTTTACACACCACACCCTCCCCCCTCGGTAGCTTCGCCCCCTCGTGTCCGCTTACTGCCCCCCCTGGCATTTTGCTCAGGCTACGGCCCTGAAAAGAGTCACCATGACCCCATATTAAGGATTTTTTTACTCCTAGGCACATCATGAACAAAAACAACAACATCGCCAAGGGGAGAAACAGCAAGTAACGTTCAGTTCAGATTGTTGTGTCCCCGGACGGCCTCGAACTCCAGAGGCAGACACCCTAACCACTAGGCCATGCGGTCACATGTGGTGTTGAAACAACAATAACAAACAGTTTGTAAATCTGGTAATAAACAGCATATATATATATATATATATATATATATATATATATATATATATATATATCACATTGGTGGGTCAAACCTACAACCTGTATACCAACATATCACATAAAGGGTGTGGCAACTGAAAGCCGGGACCAGTAATAATTAAGTGCACGAGTTCTGCATGCAGAAACACACAGAAAACCACTTGTTTATGCATAAAACCAACTATGGCCAATAAAGTAATGTTTACACTGACAAAGAATGATGAAAACTGTTCTCTCCACGCCGTCTGCTCACTGCCATCACAAGTAATGAAACGAAGCTTACTGTCCAGCGAGCGAAAAGAGTCGGTGAAAGGGGTCAGCCAGACACTGGCCCCTGATAATTTGACTCTGATTTTAGAGTCAAATTAACTCCATGAGGGTCAAGGGGTGCTGGACTCTGACTAGAGAGTCAAATGACTCCAATTTCTTCTCAGTGAGTCATGTATCTATTGTTTTTTAACCTCTCCTAATAATAGGATCAATACAGATTGTTCATTTTTCTGCCAAATAATCGTCAGCACGGAAACATATACTATAAATTATAATGAAATATGGTCGCTGCGAGATATTTTCTGTTTCAAACGTTTCCTTAATCATTTATACACAGCGTTACGCAATAAAACAATTACCATTTGTCAAAAGTACTTTAAAAGCGAAAGTGTACTCACAATATTTCTTGTCCTGCTTGTCGCAGTTAAACAATTTTGTAAACAATGCCACTTTTCCGTCGTGATTAATACCCAATATTATTACACACAAATTATAGACATTTGCATTGCTCCTTAAACTTAAAGGCATAACAACTGTTCGTTTGAGATTCAATATTCCACAAGAAATACATTGTAAACAACATATGAATATATAATAAATTGCATTTCACCACCAAAATTGCAGTTATCGTAATCATTATGAAAACTGTGATTGTCAATGGGGCTTTCGATGCTCTCCTTGCCGTTCGTCAAGCAATGCGTTGCCAATGACCTTTTGATGTCCCGTGGATTCTAGCTTTCATTCGAGACCAAAACAATTAACAATGGCGGCGTAATTCTGAAAGTGTATGATTTAGCCACCGTCGGGTAAGTTTTGAGTTATTTATACATTATGTCACGTAATGAAAAGTCTAGCGATACGCATTTTTTGCATATGATTTCGTTATGTATACGTTGTGTATAACGAGACGCAAATGTCTTGAGAAACGTCTATATTATCGGACTTGCTTAGTCTCCAAATCCAGACAGCTAATAAATGAATAAATCAATAAAGCGATGAATAAAGCGATTTAAGCATTGGTTTTTCGTGTACGGGTGACCTCACAATTATCGAGGAAATATATATTACATGAAATAATTACATTATCCAAACTTGCTAGATAAAATGTTGTTTTGTAATTGTTGATAACGGGAGTTAGTTGAAGTGTTTGGGATATTATGACTAGTAGAGGGTTGAGGAATATATTATTTATTTAGTAGGTAGAATCTGAGGTGGGGCATATGTGTTTGTATTAATGCATGCATTATTAGGTTGACTATCCTCATTGGTTTATTCAGGAGGAAGAAGCCAAAGATCTTCCACCACTTGTTGGGAAAGCTAGTGAGAGCAACAAAGCTCAGGGCAATTAGGCTTGCTGATGCATCATATTTTTAATGGAATGCAAAATGGAAGCATTTATGATGAAGAAATGTAAATATGTCCTTTATGCCAAGGACTGTTGTGCTGCAAAATTTAAATGAACTCTATATTACAGTTTTTTCAGCAAATCTGAGATGAGCACAGTGAGACCAAAAAGGAACAAGAAACAAATTGCACACCAATAAAGATCTCAGGATCCAGCCATCACGGTGTGTATGCAGTTGTTTCCACCAGTTGTTTCTATCAGCATAATATTTTTCTTTACACTGTCTCCTTCAAGTACTAGTAAAAACTATCGGTCTACAGCAACCAATAAGTGGTGTATATTCTATCAACATTTACCCTGCGCATGTTATTTCCAGTTTAATTTAGAGAAAATACAAAGGCAAGGCAGTGACCATTACCGACAAGAGGGGAAAAAGACAATACCAGTATGCAACATATATTATATCCTGGAAATACCACAGACCCGCTGTGGGAGATTACAGGGTAATCCTTACTTGTATTTAGAAATCACAGATAAATTTATCTACCTCTATAGGACCATATACAAGTTTACTTTCCTAGATGTGGGTCACAAATTAGAGGACAGGGGACAGGCCATCTTCCACTCACTCAATATTATTTTGTCAGCATTTGTATCTCTACTGATTTGATATTACTATATTATATACTAATGCTACCATTAACTGGAAAGATTTCTTCTGACTAGTGGCAGTACTCGTCATATAACCTGTTTAGCTACATAATTAAAATACGTGTAAACTGAAAAGCAACTTTTTGTTCTTATTATAAATGTGTATTTTATACTTTCCAATAAAGATGTGTATTTACAGCTTTTTCTTACTTTTGTGCACGGATATGGCGTTGAAGGAAAGTAATTTTCTTTGCACATTTATGTACCGGTACATATGGTAGAAGTTGGATGGGTTGTACTATTTCAGTGGATGTGCTATGTAAAGCTCTGTAAAATCATTTTATTGAATTAAGAAAACCTAATATACAAGTGCATTTACTCAATCTTTATTATGACCACTTACTGTTGAACTCAAAATTAACAAAAATATCAAAATACAGCAGCTTTACATCAACTATAAGATTACATTGAGCTGAGTGACTAGTTTTCTGTTTTCTTCTTTAGTTTCAACTGGTCATGCTTACCCTCTACGGAAGGGTCATCTGCAAACAAAAAAAAACATTGTTATTATAAACTATTAAATAATTAACCATTGTATTAACTGATCATTTACAACACGATGTTCATTTTCTTTCTATTTACTTATTTGAACGCACATTATATAGCTTGCATTAGATTTTATCACAAAATTGAATGGAATTAAACACCACATATTACAATCAGAGTATATGGCATACAAACGTACAGCCTGGTTCTCTAATTCTCCTTCCTTCCCCCCTCCCTCTCTCTCTCTCTCTCTCTCTCTCTCTCTCTCTCTCTCTAATAGAATTTACAAGACCGTCCATCTTGTTATTTTTTTCGGGCTCTAAATTGATAACTTTGGTCAAACTGTATTTAATATTAATTAGCTGTTGTGTGGTGGTGTTTTTACAAGCAATTAATATACTCTCATGATTTCTCACAACAATATAACCAAATTGACCTGCAGAATTTACTAATCGGTTCAGCAGTATTAGCTGGGAAAAATAATCAACATCATTTATGTGTAACTTGTAGCTGGTCTAAAATGTAATCGTGAAAACACTGCTATGAACAATCTCATCACAACACATTTTACCCTGTGTGATCAATTGCCGGACAGTAGCAGTTGGGTGGGATTCCAACGCACCAACATCTTCCATAGTCGTTACTACACACGTGACCACAGCAGATGTACACAGAGCCTGTACATTGCCCGGATAAGCATATTTTCAAAAGGCCAGAGGAATATATATTACGAAAAATGTCTAGATTCCAGTGACATGATCAGAGCAGATGCAAATGCTACAGGGTTAGAATGCTAGGGTGTGTCTGTATAAAATATAAGTAAATGACAACGATGGGCATGTTACTCAACAACCATTTGTGTTTATTTTGCGTGAAATT